ATTCATTGTACGAAAAAAGTACCATTTTTCATATCTTTTAATCAAAACTGCTTAAGAACTCTGGTTGGACAGCAGGCTAATGTTAGAACCGCAATCCAACCGCGCCACCTTGCCCCCTAGGTAGTGCGCAACGGATAATGTATCCAAGAAAAGACTTCACGATACATTGCGCCGTCGCCTTGCTCATAGTTGCCTAGACATTTAAACGTAGTATAGCCATATAAGCGCAGCATAGTCATATAAGCTTGGCATGGCCATTCAAAGCCTTATAGCCATCTAAGCAGGTCACAGTTCAGTGGTACTGGAGCACCAACGGTACCAGGTACATCTCGCACCATTTGTCCGCTTGAGCCACCTCATGATCATCACGAATGATGCTTTAGGATCTGCTACGGATTACCTGCTACCGCGTAAGGATCAGAATATGTTTGTACGCCAAAGTAGATCAGCTACAGCGTAACGTCTTCAAGACTACCCCGTATTCAATAGAGCATTATGAAATTCGGGCCGTCTGTAACCTTGTCAGAAAATGAAGTTGAAATTACTTGCGATGTACAAAACACAGTACAAGGATTTGCAACAAATCTACGCATTTCCTCCATGACAAGGTCATCTTCAACTTTAAGAGTTCAGATCTATATTCCGTTTCAGTATGGGATCGCTCTGATACGAATATGAACGTTCGTTTGTCAATACCGTCCATTATCCACCAGTCGTAAAACAGCTCAACTACCTATGCTCTTTATGGAAACTACATGAAACTCGTTAGCCTCCTCATTTAGGATGAAGGTAAGTCTTGAGTTTCGAAGGCCGGCGTCTTGGCTTTGGGCTTTCTACCGTTCCTTGAGGATATACGGCTGTCGCCCAGATCACTCCGAAACAGTATGCCATCGCCTCCTGGCGTCCGACTGCTGACAGCCTTCCGCGTGACCGGCGGTTTCTGGTTTTAATTCAGATTTTGCCATAAACAGCTGTCAGGCGGAAGTAGGGGCGTGAACGGACGACTGCAGTAGATTTAATCAAAGGCGGTCGAGGTAAGGAAGAAGTTGATAAATTTGTCTTAACAACCCGGTTTCCGTAGGGCGTTGCCACGGTCGTGCGTCTGCGTGTATCGCGTGATTGACGGAACTCCCTTGTTTGACAAATCGTCCATGATACTGTCGAGGCTCACTCGCCAATGGCGTTCTGCGCGCCACCAACGACATTGCCGACTTTTAAAGGAAGCAGCAGATAGATTGATACGCACGGCACCTGACGGCGCTGACCGCGACGGCCAGACATAGGGTTTGGCTTCCATTTCGTTATTTTCGTTGTTGAGTTTAAAGTACCTCAAATTTCGGTGTCATAATCAAAATTTTCCTCTTGATGGACAATTGAGACAACAAGCAATATTCGATGGCCGTGCATTTCGACAAACACCCTTCTTAAAACACCGACTGCTCCGCGGAAGGTGTGGACACCTGGACTGAACTTTGAGGTTTGTTTCTGAGTGAAATAAAATGCTTTGTAGCATGAGGCTTGGTTTGAGAAGTTTTTCTTCCATTTCTTTGCGAATTCACGCGCTATTCCTATCAAGTGTCATCATCGACATCAGGCAATAGGAGAAGTTCCATTTCCTAAACTTCAACAACTGGCTTAAGTGTTCAGCATAATTCAGCCACCTGGCTCTCGTCCTTGGTCCAGACCATACATCTAGACCCATCGTTACGTTGTCTCCAGATTTGATGAAACAGCGGGTACAACGAATGGTGTGTGGAACCTCTGAAGTCTACCTATGCTGTCAATCTATCGAAGGAACATTAATTTCGCTCATCATATCACACTTCTCTTCATTCTCTTGATCACACTATTTCACTCAATATTCAGCACTCATGATCATCGGCTAAGTTAGACCCGAAGACAGACCTGAAATATCACCGCTTCACATCACTGTTCATCTTCTAGAGACCTATATAATGGTACTGTTAAGCAGTTTCCAGGTTCCATTGATAGTGCTTGCTATGTTATTGTGTTTGTGCTGGAGAACAGTGAAATTGTATGTTCACAGTCTTCACAGCCGTGCCGGGGCACCTAAATTCTGTTGACCGTGTGTCCCATTTCCCACATTCTCTTTATTCGT